CAAAGGGCTTCTGATGGACTCCTGAGGATTCCTGAGGGCTGCATGAAGAACTCACAAAAAGAATTCCTGCAGGATTCCTCATTCCTGCGGTATTCTTGAGTGGATTCCTGGATTGCTGGATTTTCTTGCGAATTCCTAGAAAGGATTCGCCCAAGATTCCCCATGTATTAAAACAGGGATTTCTGATGGATTCCGGAGGGATTCTCAAGGGATGCGGGAGGGAGTCCTGAAGAATCCCGAAGGATTTTTGGAGCACTCCTGAGGGTCCCTGAAGCTTCTTCAAGGATCCCTGAGGCAGTCCAGAAGGATCCCGAGGGATTCCTGGCAGATTCACGAGTGATTATTGAACAAAGATTCCTGGGGGATTCCTGAAGGATCCGCCGGAGATTCCGCAGGTATTGAAAGGGCTCTCTGAGGGATTCCTGAGGAATGCCTGAGGGATTCCCCAGGGATTCCTGAGGGATTCTGGAGGGATTGCTAAAGAGTTCTGAAGGATTCCTGGGGGATTCTTGAGGGTTCCTGGAGTTTCTTCCAGGATTCTGATGGGGAGTCCTGAAGGACCCCCGATGAATTCGCGGCATATGATGCATGAGGGATTCTTGAACGATTCTTGAGCATTCTTGAGAGATCTGGACGGGATCCTGAAAGATGCGCCAGACATTCCCCAGAGATAAAAAAATGGCTCTCTTGGGGACTCCTGAGGAGTGCCTGTGGGATTCCCCAGGGAGTCCTGAGGGAGTCACGAAGGATCCCCGAAGGATTCCTGAAAGGTTCATGGGGGATCCACGAAGGATCCCCAACGATTTTGGCAAGATTCTTGGGGAGTGATGAAGGATGACTCAGGGATTCCTGCTGGATTCCCCAGGGGACCCCGAAATATGATTCCTCGGGTATTCGCACCCACTCCTGAGGGATTCCTGCAAGATTCCTGTAGGATTCTTGGGGATGCTCGCGAGATGTTTGAGGGATTCCTGGGAGATTCCTGTGGGTTTCTGATGGATTCCTGAAGGGTTTCTTCCAGATTCTTGAGACTGAAGACTTCTCAGGGATTCCTGAGGGCCTTGTGAGGATTCCTGCGGGATTCCCAATGGACTCATTTGGAATCCTCGGCCAATCCCGATAATTCTTGAGGAATCCTTGAGACTTCTCTGGGAATTCCTATCATAACAGTTGGAATGTCTATTCCATTTGGGCTTCCTCGGGGTGCCCAAGGGCATCCAAATAATGAGTTTCCGACATCCTGAGTAGACGCACGTATGCATCAACGCGCATGCACACATATGCGTGCACACATGCACAGACGCATGCACATGCCCACATCCATACCACATCCCCATGCAGGCCACAGTGTACTCCACTTCTGGCTAACGAACAGACGCTGGTGCCCACGATCAGATACTAACTATACGCCCGGTAGGCGTAAGTAGAAACAGACACGTTGCGACACAGCCGATGCACAAACATCTGTTTAGACATTTTCTTGACTCGATAATACTAGATGCTGGCATCACGGGGCCTCGGCGGGAGCAAAACGGCCGCTAAAAGCGCTGGTTCCAGGTATTCGATCTTTGTAGATATCGTGTGCACGGCAACTCGGCGGGAAGCTCATACATTCTAATTGTTGTTTGTTTGTGTTTTTTTCACAGTCCACCAGGGTACAGGTCCAGGGAGCAGTGGCGGCGGCGTCAATATCTTGGTGTGCCCACAGGCTCGGGCAACTTGGCGCTGCCCGCCGCTGTGGCCGCGGTAGGCTGTAGCCCGAAGGCGTTGGTGCCGGCAGTTTTGATTTCGTTCGTCTTTAGTTTGGTGAGTGCTTACAGTTTTTTGCTCATCGCGCGGGTCTGCAGTGGCACGGGGACCGAGTCGTACCAGGACGCGTGGGCGAATACGGTATCTGAAGGAACGAAGTGGTTGCCCGCTTGCGCCATCATGGGCAAGACGTTCCTCGCTTGCGTGAGCTATCTGATGATAATAGGAGATTGCTTCTCTATTGGACTTTCACCCTTGAATTTGCCTCAGGCTGTTGCCGGGCGCAACGGACTGATTGCCATTGTCTCCTTGCTGGTATTATTCCCACTCTGCAATCTGAAGTCGCTGGCGTCCTTGGCCAAGTTCTCCGCATTAGGGATGTTGGCCGCGATGTACACGCTGTTCGTCGTTGCGTACCGCTACTTCGACGGATCCTATGCAGTGGGCGGCTCGCTGGTTCACGCAGCTGTGTTCAAGCCTCGCTTCGAGCACTTCGCCGGGCCCGCCATGAGCACGGTGCTGACTCCGTCGGCCGCGGTCATCGTGTGCACGCTGGCCTATGCGTACACGCTCCACTACAGCGCCCCGCAGTTCTGGGCACAGCTGCAGCCAGATGCCGACGGGCGCAAGGAGAAGCGCATGGCCGTCTGCACGTTTGCTGCGTTCTTGGGGTCCTGGGTCTACTTCAGCTGCATCATGGGGTTCGGCTTCCTCACGTTTGGAGGTGGCGCGCAGGGCATGATATTGAACAACTACGCTTCGGTGGACGCACTGGCTACACCAGCACGTGCCGCACTCGGTTTCTCCGTCGCCAGCACTTTCCCGATCATCTTCTGGAACTTCCGCGACAGTTTCCTGCGCCTGATCGGGCCGTCTGCGCAGAAGTTCTATGGCTCCAGTCCGATGCTTGTTACGGCGCCGCTTGAAGAACGAGGATCATGACGATGAGGTGGAGGGAGGGTGGAGGAGAAGAAGTACTAGTGAGGTACCTGGGAAGGGGGGCGGACAAGCAGCACGAGGAGGAGTACGAACGTTGCAGCACATTGGCATGAGTTTGCGCAGTGACAAAAAGCACGAGGAGACGTGGGAGTAGGAGGAGGAGGAGGAGGAGGAGGAGGAGGAGGAGGAAGAGGACCATTGCAACCCTCAAGACTCATCAACGGTGCTGAAATAAACCCTCCCTCCAAGCTCCCTCGTGACAGGCCCCTGCAAGGGCTCGTTTCCACTGGGGGAATGGCTACGTTGGGAGACCACCGCTTGAAGACCCTGAAGCGTGCCAAAACAGTACTCTCTGGACTCCAACGCAACTAATCAATTTGACTGTTGCGTCTTGACGATCCTAGATCGTGCCAGAATGCAATTTCTGGGACTGCAGCACCGCGAATCAACGTAAGTGCTGCGCCCTCGCAATCCCGAGTCCTTCCAAAACACCATCTCTGGTGCGCTGACCATGGGAATCCGCGAAGCTCTTGCAAATGTTTAAGACGAGTGTACGCGGCGCTGAGGCGAGAGACACATGTTGAAAACGACTCGCCCTCGGCGCTCAGGCGAGAGCCACAGTTTGAAAACGACCTGCCATAAATCCACCATCAAACTCTTGCAAGTGTTTAGAACGAACGTGCGCGGCGCTAAAACGAGAGCCACATTTTGAAAGCGACCCGCCCTCAATACGTGAAGCTTTTGCAGGTCTTGAGAACGAATGCACGCGGCGCTAAGGCGAGAGCCACATTTTGAAAACGGCACGCCCTCAATCCGTGAAACATATTGCACATGTTTAAAACGCATGTGCGCGGCGCTAAGGCGAGAGCCACAGTATGAGAATCACCCGCCCTCCATCTGTGAAGCTGTTGTCAAGTTCGTAAGCTTCAGGGTCACAAGCAGTGAGGGAGTCTCAGGCGAAACGCCTGGCCCGCCCTTTCGACCGGCCTCGGGGCGCGACAGGGAGGAGTTATTTTATAAGGAAACGGAATGGAGGAGGCGGAGGAGGAGAAGGAGCAGCAGGAGGAGGCGGAGGCACGGGGAATGAGTCTTGCATTCTTCGAGGCAGCGCACGGGGATGAGAGATGCGAGATATGCCCCTTTTGTGCCGACACCTCCCGGTGTCCTGCGGTGTCCAACAGGCCAGCCACTCCCCTGGCCGCAGGCCCGGGTCTAGACCCGCGGCCGCCGCGTCCCCGTTCCGGAGGGAGGAGGACGAGGAGAACGAGGAGGAGAACGAGGGAGAGAACGAGGAGGAGAACGAGGAGGAGGAGGAGGAGGAGGAGGAGGAGGAGGAGGAGGAGGAGGAGGAGGGGAGGAGGAGGAGGAGGAGGGGGAGGGGGAGGAGGAGGGGGAGGGGGAGGCCGCGTGCCCAGAGCCACGCCCCCTGCCGCTGGTCCAGGCCTGGGCCATCCCCCCCCCGCGGGCCTCGCGGAGCGCCCACCGCGCGCCGCGCCGCTCGCGACCCTGGGCGCCGCCGAGCCGGGCCGCTCCGAGCAGGGGGGGGGGGCGGCGAGGGCGCGCGCAGGGGGCCGCGCGCCTCGCACCGCGGGGGATGCGCGGGGCGACCTCGGGGAGAGGCCGCCCCCCGCGCAGGGGGGGGCCCTCTCGGGGGAGAGAGGCCGCCCCCCCCCCCCCCCCACGGGGGGCGGCCTCCTCCGGACAGGAACGCCCTCCACTGCGCGCAGGGAGCGCGGCTGCTCGCAGCGTGGCTCCGCCTCCGCCGCGGCTTCGCCGGCCATCCCGGGAGGGCGGGCGCCGAGCGTCTGGCGTGGCGGATGCCGGCCCCTGCCAGTGTCATCGGCACACGTGCCGCTGAAGTTTGCAACCTCGGTGCGCCAGATCGGCACACGGCGGCGAGCGCGGGGGGGAAGCGAGAAGGAAAAGGCCTTCTCAGAAGGCTCGGAAGCCCCCCCGGCCTCTTGAGAAGTCTTCCGAGCCTTCCCCGGAGACGCAGAACAAAACATCCTCGGAAGGCGCGAGGGCTCCCGAGAAGTCCCGCCGCCTTCTGAGCAGGCCTTCTCCTTCTAACTCCCCCCCCCCGCGCTCGCGCCGAGGGATCGGCCCGGCCCCCGGTGCGCCAGACCGAGGTCGAGCTCGGCGGCCCCGCAGACCTTCGGGGGCAAAAAAGAGGGAGGTGATGACTAGGGGGGGGGGGGGGGGGATATCATGGCGGGGGCCATGATATTTCCACAGATTTCATGGCGCCTCTTCTCATTTCAATACGTCCCTAGTCCTCCCGCTGGGCCGCGCACATGCCGCCAGTCATGGTTTGCACCCCCCCCTCTTTGACACCCCCCTCTTTGCCGCCCCCGAGACCTGGGGCCGCCCCTCCCCCCAGGCGCGGCCCCCGCCTTGCCGCGCTGGGCGCGCCGCGCCTCTCGCGGCTCGGGCTGGAGCGCCGCGCGGCCGGAGCGAGGGTGAGCCACGGAGCCACGGAGGGCGGAGGAGCGAAGCAGAGGGAGGAGGAGGAGGAGGAGGAGGAGGAGGAGGAGGAGGAGGAGGAGGAGGAGGAGGAGGAACCATGGAGCCAGGGAGAACGGAAAAGCGAAACCCGCGCGAGAGGACTGCCTCACAAAGAGCACTGCCCCATCGCAAGACGGGCCGCCCTCCGCCCCCACGCGGGGATGCCGTCCTCCTCGCGTGCAGGGGAGGCCGCTCGCCCACGGGCGGGGAGCTCACGCAACGGGGCAGCGCGAGCGCGCGGAGAGGATCGCGCATCGCGCGGCGGGAAGCGCGAAGCTGTGCCACCGGCTACCTACTACAGTGGAGGCCCATGCCAAGAAGCACCCTGCTTGCCTCCAGGGTGCCCTGGGTTTTCTTGGGTTTCGATTGCTCTTCCGTGGAAGGCGTGACGCTCCCACACCAACAGTCAACGGACGTCGTGGGGTCTCAGGGTTGGGGTTCTTGTGGAAGGCTTCTTGTGGTCGGGCCTCCATTGTATGCGGGCCGAACTTCCGTACTCACGATGGCCGAGAGTCCGTCCAACCGGCGCTCTCTCCTCGGCGCGGGCAGCACACCGCCAGCGTCGCTTGCACGCCGTGGCCAGTTTAAGAGCGGCTCGTGAGGATGTCTCAGCAAAAACCGCTTTCGTGTTCAGATGAGGGGGCTGGACGACAAGGGCGAATCAAGCGCACGTTTGACAGAAGTCCAGTCGGAAAAGCAGGGCCAGGCGTCAGGAATTGAGGGTGATTTGCGTGTCACGCCGCCGGTTCTGTCCCACCACGAGTACTCAGGCGCGGCACGCTGTCCACTTCCCGGTGCCCAGGCGTCCACGTGCCGAGCCTCTCCCAGCCTCCCGTTTCGCGGCGCGGATCGACATGCTATCTTCTCGCAGGGCACAGCATGTCGCCAGAGCCGCCGCGGCGCCAAAGCCGCCGCGGCGACGCGCTAAGCAAAACTTCCAGGCCGTATGTCGCCTAGGACCTGCGGCTGGTGCTGCAAAGGCAGCGTGCGATGTGGCGCCGCTGGCCCGCTTAGTGCACGCTGCCCCCCACCTTTGGGGTACTGCGTGCGCCGAAGAAGCCCTGGCAGCGGGATGGCGTGCACAGCAGGGGCTCTCGCGGGTGGACCGCCTCACAGGGACAGCGTGCTTTTCGGAGGGGAGGAGGAGGAGGACGAGGAGGAGGAGGAGGAGGACGAGAACGAGGAGGAGGAGGAGGAGGAGGAGGAGGAGGAAAAAGAAGAAGAAGAAGGAGGAGGAGGAGGAGGAGGAGGAGGAGGAGGAGGATTGGGAGGCGGAGGAGGAGGAGGAGGAGGAGGAGGAGGAGGGGGAGGAGGAGGTGGAGGAGGAGGAGGGGGAGGGGGAGGAGGAGGTGGAGGAGGAGGGAGAAAGGAGGAGAAAGAGGAGGAGGAGGAGGAGGAGGAGGGGGAGGGGAGAGGAGGAGGAGGAGGAGGAGAGGAGGAGGAGGAGGAGAGGAGGAGGAGGGAGGAGGAGGGGAGGAGGAGAGGGAGGAGGAGGAGGAGGAGGAGGAGGAGGAGGAGGAGGAGGAGGAGGAAGGGGAGAAAGAGGAGGAGGAGCAGGAGGAGCAGGAGGAGGAGAAGGAGGAGGAGAAGGAGGAGAAGGAGGAGGAGGAAAAGGGGGAGGAAGAGGAGGAGGAGGAGGAGGAAAAGGAGAAAGGAGGAGGAGGAGGCCCTCGCAGGGGGGAATCGCCTCACAGGGAGAGCGTGCTCTTCGGAGATCGACGCCGCACGCTATCCCTCTGCAGCGCTGGGCCGGACGTTCCCCGGTGGCGGAGAGGGCTGCCTTCTGCCGTTCGTCGCCCGCTGACTCGCCCGTCGGGGCCAGCACGACCCAACCTTCTGGAGGCCCTCAAAATTCCCAACAAAGGTGATCCAAATGCCATAGCATTGGGCGCGATTTGGTGGGGGGCGATCAATGGAAGGGGGGGGCGAGGGGGGAAGAAAGGTGCCCCTTTCGGACCCCACAGAGGCCCCCTTCTGGCCCCGAAAGGGCCCCTTTGGGGGCCCTGAAGGTCCCCTGTTCTGCAGCCCTCGTTGCCCCCCCTCGCTTATCGCCCCTCCCTTTTATCGCGGCCCAAACAATGCCCTCCCCTCCCCTCCCTTTCCCGACCGCGCTGGCGAAGCATCTCGTTCTGCACCGCTGGATTTGGACACAGGCGAAGCACTGAACTCTGTACCGCTAGGCCAGAAGAGGGGACAGCAGATTTCACCATTCCTGGATGGGAAGACGGTCGATCCACGAACCTGGAACGGGATGTAGAGTTTACCTAATTTGGGCAATGAACCGTGGCAGTGCTTAGGATATCCGTGATGGTGATGCCGTGCCATGGGCTGTGCTGCGCTGCGCTGCGATGCACAGTGATGTGCCGTGATGTGATGAGTTGTGTTGTTTCCTACCGCGTTGATCCGTGCTGTGCTCTATCGAATGGTGAATCCAGTCGACCTTGTCGTCCGCATCTTGACCGAACTGATCTGGATTCTTAGCTCGAGCTGCCTGAGCGCACGGCTCGCCCAGAGTTGGTTGCAGTCGAAACGCGCGTGGCGCTCAACCAGCTCGATCTCAAGATCCGATGCATGTAGCAGGAAGTGAATCTGGAGGCAGTCTTGGAGGCATCTTGGGCCATCTTGGCGGCCTTGGTTGCCTGCTCGGGCCGTCTAGGAAGCCACCTGGGACATCTCGGAGCTACTCGGGGCTCCTCGGCGCTGCTCGCAGAGCAACGCCAAGCAACGCCAAGCAACGCCAAGCAATGATTCCAAGCAGTGCCGCGCAACGCCAGGCAATGCCACGCAACGCTGAACAATGCCAGGCCAGGCGAATCAATGCCAAGCAATACTCTTCCATGCTTTCCACTGCTCAGGAATGGTTTGAAGTGCTTCGGGAGAGAGAACGCCCCAGTTCTGGCTGCGCTGGGTTCCTTGTTGCGAATGCAAGCGTGGGCCGGCGGACCCCATCGTGCATCGACGATCCGACGCGGGGGGCGCACTTTCCTCGAGCGGGCACGCTCGAAATGCATGCCTGCCGCCGAGCATCGATCTTACGCCGTGTGGCATCTGGCGGCAACCCGCTGGCCCACTTCGAACACTGCACTGGGGGACAGGCTTTCTACTGCAATCGAAGTCTGGGCCTAAGCCCCCGCCACGAAAAAATATCAGCCAGCGTTGACTCCAGCCTGATAGATAGGAGGATCGGAGGAGGACGAGAGGAGGATGGGAGGAGGACGAAAGGAGGACGGGAGCAGGACGGGAGGAGAACGGGAGGAGCAGCATCAAGCACGCGCAAGCAAGCGGAAGCAAGCAAGCGTAAGCGAGCAATGACAAGCAAACAAGAGCCAGCGATCAAGTGCAAGCAGGCAAGGGCAAGCAAGAGCAAGCAAGCGATAGCAAGCACGCAAGAGCAAGCAAGCAAGTGCCGTTGGAAAAAGGGGGTGCCACTGGAAAAAAGGGGGAAGCCACTGGAGAAAGGGGGGGGACCTGAAGATCAATTGCTTGTGATGAACTGGGATTTCCTACAGGGCAAGTGGATTCGGAGAATTTTCCAGAGTGTCCGCTCGAGCGGCGTCCCCCGAGGTGCACGCTTCTGGCGAGCGTGTGCATCGGGCCACCCCCGCGGGGGGGCGACGCGCGCGCGCGCTCGGAGATCTCACGGTGCCTGCTCGGCGGCGGGCGTCGTCTGGCCACGCCGCTTGGGAGACGGTGGTGCGCCCGTCGGTCGTTGAAAGCAGACATTGCTCATTTCTAATTCGAAGGCTCAATGATTTGCTTATGGGGGGTCAGGATCCTTTCATTTCTAACTGCTCTATCCTGGGCCTCGTCCTGGCCACTAGGGGGCCAGGAACAGTGAGAAACGAGCACACTTAGAAATGAACACGATTAGACATGAACGACGTGTAGGCATTTTTTTGATTTCCCAGGTTCCAACCTGCTTCAAGCATCTTCCTACTTCGGTCCTCGAGCGGCTTGACCTTCTCCGTCCTCTTTAGGGGGCGGGCGGGCCACGCCGCCTGGGAAACTATAATGCGCCCGTCCGTCGTTGAAATTAGGTATGTTTGGATTCCCAGGTTCCAATCTGCTTCAGTGATCGAGCGGCTTCACCTTCTCCGTCCTCTTCAGGAGGCGGGCGGACACCCGATCTGCTTCCAACGCCTTCCTACCTCAGGTTTCTGCCTACTTCTTCCGACCGATGTCTCCCGTGAGACTCGTGCACTCGAGAACTTCGGTTCGGAAGTGCGCCACCGACAGAAGCAGGAAGACGGTGCCAGTATACCCCCAGGACCCCCCCCGGGGGGGCGCGAGGGCGATCGCGCTTCGCGCGCCGCGGCCCAGGCCGGAGTGGCTGCCCCTCTCCAGCGGGGAGATGCGCGCGGGCGCGAAGGTAGAGTCGCCCGTCGCGCACCGCGGGGCGCGCGGCCTGGTGCCCTTATCTTGGCATCGCTCAGACGTGTGCATTTTTCCTTCGGCGAGGACCATCGAGGAGCATCCTTGATCATTTGGCGAAAAAAATCCACACACGAAACCGAAAAAACACAGGGAATCTACGTCCGAGCGATGGCCAGTCATGCGTCCGCAAGAGTGCCCAGAGGTGCGCCCCTCCACACTCGAGCCTCGACCACTCGGACGGGGCCAGGACGAGGAGTCTCTTCCCGAGCGTTCCGGAACGCTCCCAGAGCGTTCTGGAACGCTCTGAGAAGGCCGCGGCGCGTGAGACATCTTCCAGAACCGCCAGAGCATTCTCGATTCATCCTCATCTGAATTTATTCTCGTCCTGGCTTCCCTGGCATCCACCGATGTGATTTTTTCAATCCTCGGCCCCAGAGGTCCCTACCCCTTCCCCGGGGATAGTTTCGCGCCTTGGATCCGTTTCTGATGTCCTGGGGCTCGATAGCGACTTCCCGGAGGCCGAAATCCAAGAAAATCCGCCGGATTGCAAAAATCATACCGTCGGCCTTGTTTAGTAGGTCGACCTTGCCAGATCAAGGAGGCCTCGCGACCCATACCTTCTCGCATTCCTAACTATGGCAATGTGGCTCTCGGAAGGGTCTCGTGCCCAATCAGATCCCCACCCGAACTTCTCCTCGTCCTGTCCCAGTCTTGACCCCAGGCGCTGATCCTGCTGACCATGGTGCCCACCGCCGTGGTCGTCCGCGACCTCGGCGCCCCCGGGGGCGGCCCTCCTCCTCCTCCTCGTCCTCCTCCTCCTCCTCCTCCTCCTCCTCCTCCTCCTCCTCCTCCTCCTCCAGGTGGCTCTCTTCAGGAAACAGACACCCTCGCCACCTCTCCGCACCCCCGCGCGCGCACGCAGCATGCGGGCCATGTGCACTCTCATTCAGAGCCCGTGACGGCAGCTTCTGCCCTCGTGGTCATCGATGGCTACAGCAGGCGGGCTCCTGCGTGCAGTTCAGTACAACCCATGCGCAGCACGATCTCACGAACGACTTGTGGACATTGCATGTTGCATACCGAACAGAGACGTATACGCACCAATCGGCACGCAGGTCAAGTCACGTGGGCAGATTGTGAACGACACGAGAGCTGTTCAAAAGACATGGAGCATAGAATTCGGTTTCAAGCGAGGGCCGTTCATCACGCCTTCCTGTGGCATTACATTCCTACTCAAACGATTTCGGTTTTCGCGCAGTTCATTAAAGAGAGTGCACGACACACCCAAGCAGTTGTGGGGTAGATGTGGGGCGACCACTCTCCAATCTGGTGCAACGTCTCATGGATTTATTGGCATGTATTTCCCGCCCAGGCAGACGTCGAGGGAGCTGCGACCGATATACGAGAAGACGATGAAGATGATGATCGACTGGGTGACAGGAGTGCTGCAGGACATGTCCAGGCGCCAGACCGTGCCTATCATATTCACTGACTTGAATGGGGGACTGTGCAAAGCAGACGGTTTTAGTGGCTGGACCTTATGCAAGTGGTAGAGAATCATTGGCTTCTTATTTTGTTCGACCTGTCCTTGCAGGATGGAACTTAAGTGCTGCGAACACCTATTTCTGCAACCCGCCGTCGTATGTGGGAGCGAACTCCGAATCGTACACTGACTACATATGCGTACCACAAGAGTTGATGCAGTGCGTGGAGAGGTGTCACGTGATGTGTTCCGCAGGTCGAGCCTTGCAACTTCACGACACGCACAAGCCGCAAGACCATCGACCCATCCAGATTGCAGTACATATTCGGTTCAGCCAGCGTCCCCTTCCCGAACGTGCAGCCCGACCCAACAGAGAAGCGCTTGTTTGTTGCTTACAGCAAGGTTACAAAAGACAGGAGCTATTCACCGAGATGGAGAGATTGGTTAGTCTTAGATATGATGAACTGAACGCAATCGAAGCAAACGAAGACGCAGACCAGATGAATCGCGAGTTCGTCGAGATCATGAATCAAGCCTTAGTCACAGTGCTGGACAAAAGCCCATTATACACAGAAGCCCGAGCCCATTACATACAACAGCTTAAACATCATTTACATGTTCGCAGATGCCTTCGACACTTGAGGACGGACCCGAGGATGGAATTTGAATACCAGCACACCTCTGCGATGATCCAGCAGACCAGCAAAACACTCAAACTCTCAGCACGACGCTACTGGGAAGAGCTCACGGCCAGGCGCGTCGAGGAGCTCAATGCCGCGGTCAAGGACAACAACAGCTACCTCGTGCAGCGGATTGCTCGTCTCATCGCTGGCAAACGCAGAGGTCCCCGCCAACGCAAGTCCGCAGCTATCCCTTCATCAGCTGCATCCGCGAGGGGCTGGAGCGTTCGGATGACGCTCCCTTCACATCAGGGTGGGTGCTCAGCCACACCAGCCACGATCGACGGCGTCGAGAGAGAAGTCCGACACGAACATAGATCAGTACGTGACAATGCAGATGCGTTTGAATTGGCGTCAGAGGATTGGAACATGGTGGCTAACTCGGTTTGGCGAATGAAACTTTGGCGAAGTTATCCACCATGGAGTATTCCAGCAGAAGCTTTACGACTTTTTTTTGCACCCAAGTGGATCACCCCCACAAGGCCAGCGATGACGGCAGGTCATGGATATTGCCAGGACGAGTTTGAGCCCCCGAAGATCATGCAGGGCCTTCTTCGAGCGATACTCTTTTTGGCTAGGAAACATGATCGAGTGCCAACCATATGACATTCAGCTCAGGCAGCGAGGCTGCCCAAGGGCAATCAAAACATCGACGTGGGCGGAGAGCGCATCATCATGATCATGTGCGCGGTAGGCAGAACTTTCATGCGGCCGCACTGCGGCGAAACAAAGCAGCTTGGACGCCAGATGATTGGATTCGCGGAGGATTGCGACGACGACGACGAGAATCAGCGATGGGAATGCTGTGGATCTCTTCGCACCGTCTCCAGGCTGCAGGCATCTCTCATCTCACGCGCTGCCACGACGCTACGCATGCGTTCTACAGCTTGAAGCATACTGCCGTGCTCGAGATTCTCCCCAGCCTCTACTCGATCGCTGATTTGAAGTTCGCTGAGGATAGGATCACGAAGGCCTTGTTCCTACTAGAAGATGATTCTCTTTCCAGGTGCTGTAGGAGCTACACTGGTCTTTGCTCGAACGTTCAGCCCGCCCGTGATTGAGAAGATTGCAGACACCTACATGTTAATTTGCTGGTATCGCGCCGTGGAAGTTAATGCCCCTTGGGACTCTGAGGACCTCCAGCAGATGGCGCTCACGGGGTTCGTAGACGATCTCGCCAACAAGGTTCTTGAGAGCAATGTCGCAGGCACATTTTTAGACAAGCTGGAAACAGGAAGCCGCCAAGAGAACAGGTCCGTCGACTTAGGCATGCGCGTCGTAGGAGCTTCACATAACATAAGCAAACAAGAGAACGTGGCATACATACGTGGCACGGGCGCGCACATCATCAGTATACTCATCCATGAGAAGCGCGCTAACATCGACGGCGCGACTATGCATCACGTACGATATCTAGGTGGACTACAAACAAGCACGTTTACTCCAGCTCCCGAATTATCCAAAAGGTTGAGGGGTCTGCACGCGGCCTATTACTCCGTGGGGCGCTTCTGGACCATCAAGGGCATCAAGTTCGTAGTTAAGAGAACTATGCTAAAGGGCCTACTCGTCAACACTGCGTTAAGTGGTCTTGAAGTACTTGCGAAAGGCACGGAGCCGCTCACCTGCAGCGACTTGTCCGTGCTGGAGTCTTTTACCGCGCGCAAAGGTCGCGCGATCATGGGAGGCACTGCTGAATGGAGTAATGCAGCCGATCATGTTGTCACCTGCTCCGCCCACGATGTTCTTCGTACATTCCGAGTTGCCCCTCTCTTTCTGGAATTCAGGATACGGAGACTCAAATGGTTGCAAAGCATGGTCAAGGAGCGTGACAACAATCGGCAGCTTCTCTCTACCTGCTTTGGGGAATCCCCCATCGATGGTGCTGTATTCAACGAGAGCGGAGCTATACATGTTCACGCTCATCCCTGGGCCAGACAGCTGGAGCAGGACATGCTTGCCTTGCGGGAATTAGAGAGTGGAAAAAGCTTGTGGGAGTACGGGGGCACCATGTATAACATCCTTTCCGAGGATTTTGAAACTTCGTGAACTTAGATTGCGATGAACTTAGAGCTGCATTCTTAACATCTAAGGACCCCTGGCCCACAGCTGAACATGAGGGAGGAGGGGGAGAAGGAGCTTATGCATATCAAGAACTACTAGAAGACGGAAAAAATGCAACAGCAAATGGCCCATCAAGCATGCCCCCACGAAACAGATTGCAAACGCTATTGGTGGAACTCACGGCAAGCTGAACATCGGTCGCATTCTTACTATTACCAACAGCTGCCCCATTTGCAACAGCACGTTTAGGGGCAAGTACGTGGCAAAGCAACATGTATCGGCTAGTCCTCGTCGCCAGCATTGCCCGGCGAACAGGGGGCGGTTCGAAGACAACGTCATTGTCCCGAGCACTATGGAGTGCCCGATGTGTTCTGAGACGTTCGATGATGTAACACTTTGGCTCAATCACGCCCGCGAGCACCTCTCTCCGCCACTGCAACCGGACTCTTACATTCGAGAACCTCGAGGGAAGTTCATTGCGGACTCCAGAGCTACCCTCAAGCCCGTCGAGAGCACCTGGAAGAAGCTATACGACAAGAACTGGACACCACAGCTTCGAGGACCGAAACATGCCCGAGGGAAGCCAGGACGAGCAGCCCAAGAAAGCGTGGCTAGTGCGGGACAGGTCGACGAGCTTCGCAGCACCTGGAGGGCGGCCCAAGATGGCGAAGACAGGCGGAGCCGAGGAGGACGAGGAGATGGACATGGAGACAGACGAGACGTACGCGGCCATGAAAGCTCTGATCGTACAGCTCGAAGCTCGAGTCCGTGCATTGGAACGCGAAGCGATGGGCACAGCCATGCTCGACCGCAAGCACCAGCTCGTGATCGACTGCAACAAGTCCTACCAAGAGGCCGTGAAAGCTCGGAAGGAAGACCCCCAGACGGACCTCGGCTCGCCAGCCTCCCAAGCTGCTTACAGCATTCTACTCGTTTTGCAGAGCTGGCCCTACAAGGACGGCTCGGCACGTCGCATGAAGATGAAGTTCGCAATCGACATGCTCGTGGAAATGATTCGCACAGGCGGACCAGAAGTGACAGCAACGTGGGCATAGGAAGCAGCAGTGTTCCCGACGCACGACAAGCCAGGGCAACCACAGAAGAGCAGATTCGTATTCAAGTTCCTCGGGCAGGTACTGGTACCAGACGACGAGGCGCAGCAGAAGGAGGTGATCGCGGCAATGAAACAAACTTACCACCCTCTGCGCA